AAGAAGAAGAGAAACAGCCGAGCGCCGGAGGTCCCCCTTCTCCCCGGGGCTCCCTGACTGTTTTCGGGACAGACGCAGCCTCCACCCTCCACCTCGGGCCGCGGGACTCACCACGGGCGGTGCTGGCAGAATGAGGCTCCCGGCCGCCTCCTGGTCCAGGATGGTCACGGTGGCTGTGGGCAGGTCCCCGAGCACAGCCTCCACCGGGTCATCCGGGCCCAGCACCAGAGAGAAGGACTCCTGCCACTCCCGGTCCTCGTTGGACAGGATCTCCACGTTGAAGAAGACGTGGTCCTCGCCTTCGCCGGGGCCGGACGGGGAGAGAGAGACAGAGAGACAGAAAGAGAGACAGAGAGAGAGAGAGACAGAGACAGAGACAGAGAAAGAGAGACAAAGAGAGACAGTGACAGAGACAGAGAGACAGAGACAGAGAGACAAGGAGATAGAAAGGGGACCAGAGAGATAGACACAAAGGAGAGACACGAGACAGAGACAGAGAGAACGCACACAGACAGAGCAGAGACAGAGACGACAGACAAAGAGAGAGAGACAGGAGCAGAGACAGATAGACACAGACAAGAGAGAGACAAGAGAGAGCAGAGAGACAGACACGCACGACGAGAGACAGACGACAGCAGAGAGACGACAGACGAGGGAACAGCGGCAGAGAAGACACGCCAAAGCGACAGAGAACAGAGACAGAACAGACGAGAGACCACTCCAGACACAGAGAGGAGACAGAGAGACAGACAGAGAAGAGACGAGACACGCAGACAGAGAGAGCCACAGAGAGATGCAGACGAGACAGACAGAGAGCAGACAGAGACCAGAGAGAAGACACGAGACATGAGAGATACGACAGGAGAGAGAGCAGACCAGACAACGAGACAAAGACGAGACCAGAAAGACGACAGAGCAAGAAAGAGACAAAGGGCCCGTGAACAGAGACAGCAGACACAAAAAGAAGCAAGACAGAGGAAAGGAAGACACGCGACAGAAAGAACACAAAGAGAGACAAGCAGAGACGACCAAAACAACGCACGCAGACAGAGCACCGCGACCACCAGGAAGAGCAGAGAAACAGAGACAGAGAGAGACAGAGAGACACGTGACAAGACAGAGAGACAGAGAGAGAAAGAGAGAGACAGACAGAGAGACACATAAGAGAGACAGAGAGACAGACA